CATTGTTTAGATCTTACCGTATTCGTGTTGTATAGTATAGGGCGTCCTTAAACGTATTTTTAGACTAATAAATGACATTTGCGTGTGTAAACTCCTTTTAGAGAGCTAGTGCATTGAAAGTATGCTAACTAATAACTTGTCTCTGGTAAGTTGGTGCCTAGAATTAAATAGCATATTATTGTTGTCGTACATTTCGTGGTCTGTTTACTTTGTTATCTACCTCAGCAAGGTACCATCACAAGCGTGACCGCGCCAAGCAGGACCTTTGGGTTTAGAACATCGGGCGATGGTTAGACATTATACGACACGGGCCACAACAACGAGTCACACACTACACGAGGACACACACACACGCGCACACGAGAGTACACAATACTATGTGCACAAAACTCAGCATGGAGATATAGAGATATAGAGATATTTGCGAATCTGTGGAATCCCACTAAAATACTAAATAAATGTTCATCGGCAAAGACGAACCGGGGCGTTGCTGCAAAGGTCACGCCCAGCAGGGGCGCCACCAAATTATGCGCACGGTGTGTTGTCTTCTAAATTCGTCGGGCAAACACTGATGGGTCGCTGATGGCGACACTGATGGGCGCCTGTTTCACTGCCGCTGTAATCTGGTTGTGAGTCTTTTGTCTTCAGCCCTCCTACTACTAATACTGACTACAAAAACGTGTACCACACACAGTATGGGTAATCCCAGGTGTTGGGCGTGCGATGCGTGCGGGGGTGTTTGCGCGTATACAGTGCACAATTTCTTCATTGCCTCTGATACACGGCAGGTCGGTTAGGATAGCGAGCACGTGTGGGGTGTGCTGCATCTCTCGACGCTGCGCAGCCGCGCTCTTGTTTGGCGATCTCCGCTAATAATTGATGAGGAGTGCATATCCTCTACCCTACGGCAACCGTGATGCAAACAAGGGCATCTTAATCAGAAAGGTCTTCTGTGATATTATTTTGCTAGCAGGATGACATGGTTATAACCGCGGTTAAGTAGGTTCGTATTAACCATAAATGTGTGGGAGTTGAGGTTAAGTGTAATATAGTCCGAGCTGTATTTAATTAAGGAATGAACGTGGGAGTGCGACTATCTGCGTCTAGGTTTACTTAGTGTCTACACTCTCTACTCTTCGTGCGTTGTGAGTTGTTATTGAGTATAGGAAGCTAGCACTCTCCGAGGTGGTGATTAAGTTTGGTGGGTGTGGTTGTGAGGTCGCTGTAATTACGTGACCACAGGGGCGAGGGTGGACACCCCGGGGGCTTGCTACCATTGACGATGCCACGGCACGTTCCGTTGGGGTATCGACAAACCACTGACGACAAACGGTGACAGCGCTCCCTGCGTGAGTGTGATTAAGTTTGTGGTTTGTGGGGGTTATTATGCCACCGAGGGAGTGACTACACGGAAGGGGGGCTCTTGTACCCTTGACTGCCGGCAGCGTTGCCGTTGTATCGACAACCACGCGGTGACAGAAACAGCCATAATAGCCTTTCTAACAGCCGAAGTGGAGTATTTGATACAAACAATCGACGAAGAGAATACAGTCTATGATAGCAGTCTAGCGTGCTGCTCCGTGGACTTCCGGTGTTGTGTAGCCAAATCCGTTATATGTCGCCTAATATACCTACTAGCTTTGTCATGATTCGGTAGAACGTCGAAATTACAGTCATATTATGGGCGCGCGGGCGTCTGTCTGTGGATTGCGTTGGTACCGGTCGAGCGCCAGCTGGCCGCCAAGTGCACTGGCAAGTGCCATCAGCTTCTGAGTTGGTTTGCGTTACCTAGCATTTCGCATAATCATCGAGAATACGAAAGGCATCTTCGGCCGGCTGCCTAGCTGGCAGCTGGTTGGAGGGGTGCGTACCCGCGTACGAGCGAACCGCGGGGCTGCCTTCCACGAGGCTTTCTCGACCCCGAGACGCAGGAAGAATCGGGGAGATCGGTGTCCTCCCGGCCGGGCGAGGCTGGGGGCGCCGGTACGGATGATGAGTGTGGTAGACGAGAGAGCTGCGTTCGCGAGGGAGGCCATACTTGACAGATCAGGGAGGGGAGAAGAGCAGCGGCACACTGACGGCTGAGAGCCGACAGATGTGGGTTGGACCCGAGCGAAATTTTTTTCGTATGTTGATCAGCTCTATATATTATAAATAGCGTGTCATGTATAATTCGGTAGTAGTTCGCGAATCTGTAGCAGCTCTTTGAAACATCGGGGGTGAAAGGACAGTGCCGGGGGACTGAAGGACGGTTGCCCCGTGCTCTACTCTCTCGATCTCTCTTAGCCTCGGCCGGTTCGTCTCGTCCTCTCTTCATCTGGATCTCCCTGCATCATCGCGTCTGATCTGAGTCGCACTTGACTCGCTGCGCTGGACTAATCCCTCGGTGTCTCTGCGCCTGATCGTTGACCTTCTCCCCGGGCTTTCTCCTAATTAGCGGCTCATTTATCTCTCTCTGCGTCGGCTGGGCGTGTCGTCTCTCTTCATTCGCCTGCTCCCTTCGTCGTTCTCGCTCTCTCGTCTCGATCGCTGCCAGAGAGGCGAGGGAGGGAGGGATGAGGGAGGGAGCCGCGAGCGAGAAGGAGGAGGAGGACGAGGAGTTTGAGGAGAGGAGGGAGGAGTGGTAGGAGGAGAGGAGAAGAGGAGAAGAGGGAGCGGAGAGGAGAGGAGGAAGGGGGAGAGAGGACGGGGGGGAGGAGGAGAGAGAGGAGGGAGGCCTCTCCTCTCCTCTTCTTTCCTCCTCTCCTCCTCTCCTCTCCTCTCTACTCCTCCCTCCTCCTCGCGCTCCCTCCCTCTCTATCTCTACCTCTCTCGTCTCTCCTCTCCTCCTCTCCTCTCCTACTCCTTCCTCCTCCCTCCTCCTCCTCCCTCCCTCTCTCTCTCCTCTTCTCGCTCTCTCTCTCGCGCTGCCAGGAGCGAGGAGGAGAGGGAGGGAGGGCGCGCGAGGAGGAGGAGAGGAGAGGAGAGGAGAGGAGGGAGGAGGAGGAGAGGAGAAGAGGAGAAGAGGAGGAGGAGAGGGAGCGGAGAGGAGGAAGGGGGGAGGAGGAGAGAGAGGAGGGAGGAGGTCCTCTCCTCTCCTCTCTACTCCTCCCTCCTCCTCGCGCTCCCTCCCTCTCTATCTCTACCTCTCGGCAGAGAGAGAGGTAGGGGAGCGAGGAGGAGATAAAGAGGGAGGGAGAGAGAAGAAGGAAGAGGATAGTGGGGTAGGGGGAGGAGGAGGCGAGAGAGAGAGAGAGAGCGAGGAGGGAGGGAGGGAGAGAGAAGAGGGAAGAGGAGAGAGTAACGAGAGGAGGAGGCGAGAGAGAGAGAGAGAGCGAGGAGGGGAGAGAGAGAGAGAGAGCGAGGAGAGGAGAGGGAGGGAGAGGGGAGAGGAGGAGAGAGTAACGAGAGGAGGAGATAGTGGGGTAGGGTGGGTGGGGTCTTCTCCTCTACTCCTCCCGCTCCCTCTCTCGTCCTCTCCTCCTCTCCTCTCCTACTCCTTCCTCCTCCCTCCTCGCGCTCCCTCCCTCTCTCTCTCCTCCTCGCTCCCGGCAGAGAGAGAGAACGAGAGAGAGGTGGGGGAGCGAGGAGGAGATAAAGAGGGAGGGAAGAGGAGAGAGTAACGAGAGGAGGAGATAGTGGGGTAGGGGGAGGAGGAGGCGAGAGAGAGAGANTCTGCCTACTATTTCTCCTCTACCCTCCGCCTTCCTCTCTCGGTTCTCCGCCTCCTCTCCTACTCCTTCGCTCCTCCTCCTCGCGGCTCCTCCCTCTCTCATCTCCTCCTCGCTCCCGGCAGAGAGAGAGAACGAGAGAGAGGTAGGGGAGCGAGGAGGAGATAAAGAGGGAGGGAAGAGGAGAGAGTAACGAGAGGAGGAGATAGTGGGGTAGGGGGAGGAGGAGGCGAGAGAGAGAGAGAGGGAGAGGCCTCCTCTCGCCTCCTCTCTCCTCCTCCTCTATCTCCTCTCCTCTCCCCCCCCCGTCCTCTCTCTCCTTCCCTCCCGGCAAAGAGAGATAGCGGGAACGAGAGAGGCAGAGAGAGATAGAGGGAACGAGAGAGGCAGAGAGAGGTGCAGAGGCAGGACGGAGAGGCAGACAAGGGGAATACAAAGGTGACTTACCTCTCCCAGCAGGTTGTCGAGGATGATCACGGTCGACTTGGCTCCAGGCGATGACTCCTTACCCGACCTGCATGCAACAACGTCATTAATCGCTTATCGATAGTACAAATAGTCCATGTTATTTACAAGACTTGTCCGACTCTCTGAATATGATGTCAATAAACAACAGCATTCCAACAGATTATCAACTTAAATTCATCATTCTCTACATACGCGGTACTGCCACTGGGTAAACAAGCACGGTTGTCGCAACAAGTTCTCGCTCGCAAAGCTATCGACTCTACAAAATGTAATTAGAGCTATCATAATCTTGAGATGTGCATTTTTGAGAGAGACAGAGACTACTCGGCCAGCACTTGCTCATGCACATACAGTGCGCACAAACACAGAGTTCGAGAAGGTGAGACGCATCGCAGCACGAGGTACTCGGCCAGCCGCTGACCCAGGTAGCTCTTGCCTGTCGCTGTGTGCTGTGTGTTAGCAATGCTCAAGCAGCAGGACGTGCAGCGCTACACGCTCGACTTGGGGATGAGTGTCTCGTAGGCAAGAGCATCCACGCAGTGCTGCTGCGCACCTAAAACAAGCGAACAGCACTCGCTCAATACTATTGATGATGTTCAACTTCAATAACCATCAGAACGTGGAGGTGGATTGGCCACACTACGCAAATCTAGAGACCCACAAGGTCAACGGGGGCCGTCCGAAAACTACATATTCGGTCAAAGCCGAAATCAAAGCTGAGGGACACACCTGGGACACCATCAGGCAAATCGCCCAACATCGAGTCAGGTGGCGAACTGTTATCAGTGGCCTATACTCCACCCAGGAGCCATGGGCGTAATTCAAGATACAATTTGCAATCACTGCGATTTTAGAGCGACGCGTACTAAGTGCGTTCTATGCGTTTTTCGATGAATAATTGCTACAAAGAATACAGAAATAGGCTTCGGCCTAATTATATTACACTCATACTGCTTATAATTATATTATTCATTACGTTCTATTAACATATATTATATATATTAACATGGAAACCATCGCCAATTGACCATGTCAATGATTAAAACCATGTCTGACGTTCAAACCTATAACTACATAAAAGAAGAGGTGTCGATGCAAAGTAAAGTGTAAGGGCAAGTTGGATGTACAACGCTAGTTCTCAGGGGTGCAGGATATTTGAGTAAAGGCACGCGGTGCTAGGGTGCATGGGTAGCATTCCCCCTCCCACCTGGAAAATTCAGGGAGCCGTCTAGTCACAGGGGGAATCCCCAGTTTCTATCAGCCTGCAGACTGACTTTTTTTTATTTTTGGCCCCATTTTACTAGTATCATAACATTAGTCATTGGCTGAACGGGGGGGGGGCAACCCCCCAACCCCCCTCTAGATCCGCCACTGATGTCATTTTTATAGGGTTTCACGTAACAAATCATAGGTAAATTAGGACATGAAAATGCTGAATTTCTTGTGTTTTGAGTGAGTCATACTCCTCAATTATTATGTCATGATAGTGGACAGCAGTGTTGCCACCTGTTGGCTCCTCTGATTCATAAAGCTTTAATTGATGGACTCAACAGGCCACAGATTACAGCTCTGACACAGTTTCAAACAACAGTTTTTCAAATACCCCCCGATTTGTGCAGAAAGTTTTTGAACGGCATTATATCATGTGTCTTCCATAACTTGTCAAGAAAAATGTCTTACTAGAGTCATCATCAAGGTAGTTGGGATGAATCTCACGTTGAATGCAGTATGGTGGAATGAAGAACAATTCAACATGCGTATTCCACGTCAAAACTGGACGAGTCTTGTGCTCGGGAAAGTTGTAGACTTTCGAAAACTGCAACATTCAAACAGACATAAATGTGACTTCATTGTTTCATTATGGTTGGCAGACAATGAAAATACAACTAACCGCATACTTGAACCTGCAAAGCTATCTGCTTGGTTTAGCTGAAGTCTACATATATTTCACTCTGAATGCCCTTGTTGATTTATTCAGATATTAAAATGCACTCAGCATGGTTCACATGTAAGATAACTATGAAGTAGAAAATTCTTGTTAAAGCCAATTAGCTTAAGGCCGTGTATATTGCTTCATCATTTTCCATGATCAGTCTCCAGAGACAGTAGTGTATTTCAATATCTGAATATAACTAATATATATAATAATTAACATATAAGCTACGTTAAACAACACGCAACCGGAACATTGCCAGCACTTGGTTGAAAATGGACTTTAAGAAAGCTAGAGCGGTTTTGTGGAATTGTGGATAAATGAAAGCCTAGGGGAAAATTTCAGATAAATGAGTTATATACTTTTACTAACCTTTCCTAAATATACCATACTGTATGGTGGCCTGCCAACTATTAATTATATCAGCGGTGATTGTTACTGGATTCTCTATCCAGAACTCTGGGTAGATGAGGCCAGGATGGTCCTGTAGGTGCTGACCAACTGGCAAGTCAGCGAGTTGACATCTTAAATTCAGTAGAAAAATAAATGATATAACCGGAATATGTTAGGACTTACCAAATAAATTGCCAGCTACGCAATGCTTACCAAAAGTTTGGGAAGAATTCGTTCGAGAGAAATTGTGTGAGAATCAAGTTATCAATCTTTACGTATTGAATTCTAGGTAGCACAGTCATTATTCAGATTTACTGTTCGTTATGGCAGATGTAGATTTGGAGGCATATACGATACACAAGGCATGAACGAAGCAACTATCATTATAGCATCGAAAGCACCATCAAAAGTACATTATACAAATAGCATATATGTAATCACACATGTCTGCCATCATATTATTGATTATTATGATAACGATGATTCAATCCATGATTGCTTACCTCCTCTTGTTTGCCAGCATTGTCTTTTTCCTTTGTAGGTTTGAGCTATCCAATGAATCAACGTGTCTAACCGTTCTCCGTACAGTGTCAGCAACCTAAATATGACAATAAACAACGTTTTGCTTGTTCTGTTGTTATTTTCTAGAGGGGGAGTTAAATGATTCTCTTCATATTTAGTACACAATTGGCTTGCAATGCTTTTAGAACGAAGTCAGATAATGCTTCTACCATTGTTAACAAATACATTATATAGCACCTAGCCACATATGATACAAAATTATTGTTGACAGAGCAACATATAAGTCATATTTGTACCAAGGCCACACTGGCAACAATTGAATGTCTATACTGCTAATGACGATTCCGAATTCGTATTACCTGACTCTATTTCTTATCATGCAATTTAGAAAAAGCAAGATAATAAACAAATACTGTGTATGCATAAGTACAGTGGCATAAAGGATACCTTCACGATAAATCAGAGGTAATCAATGTAAAACGTTAATTAAAATGTCATACCCAAAGCATCCACTGGTAGTTTCCTACAATTACTGGCATTATCACATTCAAGGCCTTCTGCAGTTCACCCTGCAAATGAAGAACATAACAATACATTTACCCAGTTACAAACACATGGTCACCGGTTTAACTCCACTGAAGGACAATTTCATCTCCAGGGGTGAGGACAATGGGTGCTACTCATGTCACACACGCTAACTCATGAACATCAATCGCCCTCAACTGCATATATGAGCCATTAAAGAGATACAAGTTGATTTGAAATTTTTTTACGGTAATATCATGCTGTACGGCTGACTGAGACTACATTATAGAAACGAAGAGTATATATGCGAGAACTCCCATTATATACTCTTGATAATTATATGTGTAATTTTTTATGTGAAAGTCTGAGATGAGGGCGAGTGATGGCGTTACACCTAAATGATTGCCATTTAACGTTTTTATAATATTCAGATTTAGGCACTGCCTAAAAGCGGAGCCTCCGATGTGTAACGTGTAAGATTGAGAGTTTTGTCTCAGATTAACTTTTGTCAAAGGTTGCATGGAAGTGTTTACTTCGTATGAGTTTTTCTAGGTGGTAGCACACGGTTGCCATCTGTATATCGCAATAATAATTTATAAACCATAGCGCCATCTACCGTCACAAATTGTGATTCATTTTTATAGGGTTTTTACAAAACATGTCGGAACGCAGCCTTT